AATAACAAAGATAATAGTATTGTCATATAAAGATGTGAGTGGTCGTTCTGAGAGTATGTTCTCTCCTGGTTGCATGTACATAATGGAATGAAAAAAAGGAAGATTCAAGCTTTGAAATATCTTTTTTTGGATTTCAAACTTGTGCATGGAATGCCACACTACTTAAGATCAACGTTACAAATGCATCGAACGAATTCAATTCATTGTCCTCAAAAAAAAACGTTCTTGGTCCCATGTGGTAGAAAGAAATAGACGAAATAAATTTCATTTTATGAAGAAATTCACAGATTAAACCGAAACTCTTCGCATCCTCACTCAACTAAACAAGTTAGTTGGAATGTTGTTTGGAAGAAGTGAACAATTGGATTTCATTTTTAAGCATGGATATTTTTTTCCGTTTCAGGCGTTCGTTTCAAAAATTGATTAATTGAATACGGAGCAGCAACAGTGATCGTTTGAAAGAGCGCAAAATGGAGAGAGAAGGAATAAAATGACAAAAAACAGAATGAAATTTCAATCATTTGTTTTCTTTAAATCCAAATCAGATTGAATTAAGCATCGAATTTTTATTTTGTTAGTTTGATCTGTTCTGACTGAATGATTTCACGATATGCCAAAGTTCCGCCACTTTCGGGTGTGAACATTGGAGAGAAATGGTAGAAAATCATCTGTTGAGTAGGCTAACTAACTAGGAAGCGACGACGATACATAAAAATTACTGATTTATCTTGCATCAGTTCAAGTTTTGGGGATCGATTACCGGGTCTAAATGCAGTCAATTATGCATTATTCATCTTACTCGAATTCATTATCGTATGGGTACGTGAATTTGCGAAAGAAATTAATAAGTATGTGTTTTTGTTTGTGTTCCTTGACATATAAGTCTTAGAAAAATAATGTTATTGAGAGATAATCGAATTTTGGATGGTGGAGTAGTCATTACGGGTATGTTTAGTTATTACGAGTAGTCATTAGTCATTAGTCATTACGGGTATGTTTAATGACTACTCCACCTTCCAAAGTTATTACGAGTAGTCATTGGTCATTAGTCATTACGAGTAGTCATTACGGGCAGCGCATGATGGGGCAGTGAATGAACTGAATAAGGATGCCACAAAGGAGTCTTGAGAGGGGAGTAGAGGAAATGCGGAATCAGAGGAATCCTGAGATCAGTGGTAGAATTACGATGTGATGTGACTGAAGTTATAATATTAGGTTTTTGTGCAATTGTTTGAAACTTTCATCGTTTATAAGATTGCCCTCTCCGAGAAGAAGTCCACAATGCATCACAGAGTGAATTCAAGTATTTAAGACATTTCATTGATGCAACCAACACATGAGTGGAATATAGCGAAGCTTATCAAAACTGCAGCAGTTTTTTGGGATAGTTTTAAGGATGAAAGACTCTCAGAGAGACTCTCAATAAGATACAATGAATTTCGGAAGCTGTAGTTAGGTGGATTCATTGATGTATTTGATTCAAAAATGGGCAAAATTCAAAAGATACATCAATATGCTATTATCTAAAAAGATAATATTTTTGAGTTTTAGTTTTACTACTGGGATTTGAAAAGGCGGCCATCGAAGTTGGCATGGCATGGCATGTCTACACGCATCAATATTGTTGATAATTGCCTATTTCATATAATTTATGCTGCGCTCTTTTTGTTACAAAGATCGGGATTTAGTGAATTGATGCGTTTATCCATATGAACTAATGCGTATTTGAGACAGAGTTTGAGTTTATTGAAGCACGTAGGAGCTGCTGCTGATGGATGTCTCAGCACATTTGAGCAGCGTTTGGGCATGTGAATGCAGGCTGCTGCTATCTATTATATGTCTGCGTGAGTGATATCCATTGGTCTGTTTAAGTGTCAGTCGAATAGTTTGAATCCATCCTCCAGCACAGCATTCATTCCCATGTGGCAAGAAATGGAGGCGTTCAGAATGGAAGCAAGAAAATTTGGTCAAATAGCTTTAGTTGTTGGTTTGGTGATTTATCAGTGGATGATCGAATGAAAATAACTGCCAGAAATGGAAGCGAAATTGAGCGAAGTCTTGTCTTTCAGCAAACCCAGTTGAAATAATCCGAACTCATTTGGGATCTTGTCAATAGTCGATGTCAATTAAATGAACACGCAAAACTTTCCCTGTTGTCTGCTTGCAAACAAAGTGTTATTTGATTTTGTTGTTGTTATCTGAGGTTTTGTGGTGTTGAGCAGATACTAGGGAAGAGTCACGAAACGTTTATGTTAATTCAATTACTGGTTCGGATTACCCGAATTTCACAGTTGCACTTTTCAGTTGCATTGCTTTTTGGTCGTCTGAGATTATGAGAACAAAAAATTTGCCCCAGTGCCACACGAATCTGAGCCATTTTCACAACAGAGAGAGGAAATAAATTGCGGCCTGTGCATTACATCTACAAATTTCACTGATTGTTTTTCAGTGTTTCATGCTTTCACAAACAAGAGGAGTATGTGAAAGGCATCAGTTAGAATGATAGAATCGAAATTGCAATCGTGAATCGTTGAGAGGATAAACGAACGAACAATCAAGGTTGGAATGAGGCACAGAAATGCAAACCGGAATGATAGGGTGATCAACGCCATGAAAGCGTCAAATTATAGTCAATTGTTTGCTGGACGCCTTATTGTTCGAATCTATTGGTAACAATGAAAATTAACATCGATAACTTCAAATTTACGTCCATCTAAGNAAGCAAGCTCTGAATCTAAAAAAGCAACCGCCAGCAACTATACCACATAGATGTCGGCATTCTTGACATAGCATTTCAGTGATATCCGAACTTCAGTTGCAAAACACTTGACTGAATAACATAGTTGTTAATGCGATGCGAGCTGAATGGTCTCTGGTTTTAATGGGCTTATTTGTTTGAAAATGAGCCATTAAATTGCCATAAAGTTGAGGAATATTGCTGACGAAACCGGATGAGCGATTTAAAACATAATTGAGTCGCAGAAAGGAAAGTCGAAAAAAAGCGAAAGGTCAGTGTATATTCAATGATAGAATACGAACCAGACAATTGATTTGTGATCATGAAAAGTTTTGAGGAACTAGTTGATGCAGCTGACAATCAGGCTTACAATTAGGCCGTTCAATCTCCACAACATGTTCTCACCACTCTATCAGCTTATCACGTATTTTGCTATGGGAGAACAAAAGGCAAAGCCCTGCTCCCAAGCTCATATTGCAGTTTTGGGCGCAGTATTGAAAAATTCAAGACGGATGAAAAGAAATGGCATGAGAATCGATAAATTATTCTTTTCATAACCTATAACAGACACACAGAAAAGATGGAATTCAGGTGCTCGATTACGAAGCATTTGAGTAGGAATTTCGACCGGCATTCGGAAAATTTGAGCTGTTTTGTGGATAAGGTAGAATTAATGAGTATTTCTCTCACCTGTCCATCACCATCAATATCCACCTCAGCAATAATCTCGTCAACTTCTTGATCACTGAATTGTTCACCCATATGTGTCATAAAATATCGAAATTCTTCGGCCGTTATGTATCCATTACCATCCCTATCGAACACTCGGAATGCTTCACGTATCATTTCACTATCGTTCTCCTGAAACGTTCGTTTTGTTCTGTTCTTATCGTAGATTCATCTCAACAACTTAATCCATTGAATATTCTGATTTGAACGTTTCAAGGTAGAGCACTGCAAAGAATTGCCGTATTCTCATAGAAATGACAGATTATTCTCACACGAATGCTGAATTATTCAACGCACCACTTTCTAATCTTGCATATTCTCTCATGCATTTCATCACCTTCATGATCGTAATGAATCAACGATATCATTAGTGTACTTGATGATGTTAATGACTGAACTTGGATCATCTAATTTTAAAGATCATCTGATGGATCAACTTGTCCAGCGCTGTCATGAGAATGCACTCTTCCACTTAGAACCGGTTGCATTTGCCGGTTTCTTTCCAATTCATAAGTGTTTTTCTGATTGTAGCGAATGATAAAGATTCATTCACATGTGATACGATTGATGCCTTACGTAAGAACAGTTGCGCCGGGTGTTTGATCGAGTTTCTATTAGGAACACTTTTAAAAACCATGACATTTCGGTTCTGAGTGATATTTTTTGCTAAACTGACTGAAGTTTGTGCTGACAGTGAGAGAAAAGCTTGCAATATGGTTTCATGTTCGTAAAAATACGAGAAGTGTTGCAGATAATACTCATTTACTATTCATTGAAGTATCGGAAAAGTCACACCGAAACTCGCTCACATAAACATCAATCATGCGCATAAGTTCCATCATGCAGTCATTGACTAATACTCATTTTAGTGTACTCATCCGGGCGTTTATCCAAGAGAAAACACAAACGTTCGTAAATGTCAGCATATCCGTAAAAATACGAGAAAAAATACCAACCGAACTCTCAGGGAAAATACCTATATACCTGCATATTCGTACAGAGAAAATACATATATACCGAGCATCATTATGTGTACTCCGCTGAATAATTCATTCATTTTAAAGTGTTTTAGTGTTATTTTTTGCGGAATGAATGTGGCAAAATGCAGATATCGTCAACAAAAGGATGAAAATGCAATAATAATGAGATGGACTAGTGAAAGTGTTTAGTTCCAGTTCACTTAAGCAGTGGAATTTGGAATAGTTTTTCAGTTTCTACTAATAGATATTGTTATAATAACTTTTTTTTGGAATGTTCTTGAATAATTCAAATAAGACCTAAGTCGGGCTATGAAATTTTATGCTGATCTTCGAGTTTCTAGTTCTATCACCTTCATATGACTGTCATCATATCGAACACATAAGTAATGTTTTGTATGGTCACATCGTATCAACTGGGTACTATTAATCAATGACAGTTACTGGATTGATTATATAATGCTAGTCACTCCTCAGTCTCTTTCAATATCCAATCGAACTAATCAACCGAGAATATATTCCCATCAGATTTGTCATTCCGGCAAAATTGTGGACATCTATGTGTTAAGGAGAACTATTTGACTTATATTTGATTGTATTTTCATTTCAGTGTACTCGTTCGAGGTTTATCCAAGAGAAAATACAACAGTTCTTAAATGTCAGCATATCCGTAAAAATACGAGGAAAAATACAAACCGAACTTACTTTAATTGAGAGGTTTTTATATGTATTATGTGTTGTAAGTGAACACGTTCATTATTTGACTATGCGAAGATATTCATTTAGTATAAATAGAAAGTGCAAGTAGGCAGCGTTATTGAGATCAAAAATATTTTTTTGGTTTAGTCCCATCAAATTTTCGTTGTTTTTGTGTGCAAAACGAATCAACAATTCGAATAATTTGTCATTTTCGCTTCTGATCTAAACGGTAATTGAATGTGGCTGACGTGTTTTGGCTGTTGATGTAATCGTTCGAATTTCAAGATTCTGTGGATGGATGGATGGATGGATGGTTGATCGGTTGTCTTTCTTTTTGAATAAGAAGTTAATTGAAGAGAATGTGATTGTGCGCTAGATCTGTGCTGTCTAATCTAAGAGATTTTTTGTTGTTTGTTAGTCTCCTCGTACATCCAAAATAGAAAAATAGGATGAATTCAAATGCGTATGAAAAAATTAGGTAGAAGATCAAATTGCTCAGCGAATAGCAAAAAATGAAATGAAAAGAATTTGAATAAGAGGTGTGAGAAGTGGGGAGATCTTCGAAGGATGTGAATGAGTCTGATGGGTTCAGATTGTCAGTTCCTCTTTATTAATCATGAATTGGAAATCATCTACTCGAGAGTGGCCAGAATATGTGGTATTGTCGGAGGCCAACGCTATAGAATAGGTCACGAGTGAGTTGAATAGGGTTCGGTTCTTCAGTTTGTTTTTAGTATTTTTTCGATTGAATTTGTTGATTTGTTGGGAACAATCAAGATAAATTGCTTTGTTAGTTTGGTGGTGAAACATGCGGTTGAAGAATGGTAACGGATGTCAGTTTTGTGCAGTCATACAACTGCTTAACTCTAACTGATCAACTGAAAGTTTTAAGGAATCAGAGTTCATGAAGTATTTGGACGGATGGAATGGTTTTTGGTCAGTCCAAAAATGTCTGAATCCAAAGGATCCAGACATGCAGACAATTGCGCAGAAAAATGAATAAAAGGAGACAATACCTTATTCATGCGTTTCATCATTTGACAAAATTCCGGAAAATCAATTGTTCCACTTCCATCAATGTCCACCTCGTTGACCATATCCAATAGTTCCTGTTCGGTTGGGTTTTGACCTAGTGATCGCATTGCAACACCCAATTCTTTGGATGAAATTGAGCCGTTACCATCCTTAAATAGACTGAAGTCTTCCACTGAAACTGCACATCTTCAAAGGTTTTAGCGGTGTTCTAATGAAGCCATCCGCTTCATTAAAGTCATCGTTGTTGTGAGGTTTTCCCACTTAAACTACCTCAAGCTAGCGGTTTTCGAACACGTGCAGAAAGCGATCGCTGTGTGTGTTAACTCACATCAGCTGTGTGTTTATAGAACTTTTGCATAATAACTCTACTAACATTACTTTTACTGTGTGTGTTTTGAACAACTTCAATCATCTGTCTTGTCTGAACGGCATTACCCTAAAACTCTGCGTAGAGCTCAATGAATCTTTCGGAGCAGATGGAACGTGGAATTGTTAAAGTGATTCTTTGGATGTTTCTACGATAAGCAAGCATCGATCAATTTTACGCGAAATTCCGTGTCAGCAAGGAATGTTTTCATGCTTGGTCAGTGTTGCTGTAATCTTGTAACACTGAGATAGATGTAGAAAGGGATATGGAAACCTTCAAATCATCAGTTGTTTTGGAAAGTTACGTTACAGAACATCTTGTTGTGTGTGATACGATGGAAATTTTTTCATTTATTAATTCAATTAGCAATCTTCCTTCCTTCTTTAACATTATTGTTTTCACATAGCTAACGATATTAGCTTGAGGAACCAACCGTGCACTCCCAGGAGATTCTGAGAGCAAAACTTAATTCGAGTAATTTTGACGGATGTATTCGATGTTTTGGGGTGTATATGGTGAAAATAGTTGAAGAAGAGAGGTGTTGAGGAATTTTTGGAGATTTTAAAGTTTCTTGGTTGAAGTGAAATTGATTTTTTAAGATCGTGTGCTTTGATTGAGCCCATCACAGTCAGTAGTACAACAGTTGATGTGTTGGCATCACGGTGATGTGGTGGTTGGGTGTGAAGATTAGCTCGAGATTAAGATTGATAAAAATGAACTTGAATGGCCATAAAATAGTGTTCTAGTATCTGTCTTTGCAATGATACACAGCAATAAAACAAAGTTTTCCGTCTCGGTTTTAGCAGGATGTGGTGCTAAATTATATGGAGAAGTTTTTTTTGCAAAGCAGTACGATTAATAGTTAACAGTTAATCATAGTGAATAGTCTTTATAATAGTATGAAGT